GCTCACTATTAGGCTTTCTGTTGGTCACACTCACACTTCTCACTATTAGGCTTTCTGTTGGTCACACTCACACTTTTCACTATTAGGCTTTCTGTTGGTCACACTCACACTTTTCACTATTAGGCTTTCTGTTGGTCACACTCACACTGCTCACTATTAGCCTTTCTTTTGGTCACAATCACACTGCTCACTATTAGGCTTTCTGCTGGTCACACTCAGACTGCTCACTATTATCCTTTCTGTTGGTCACAGTGGTTCCGGTGGAGATGGGTTGTTTGGGAGGAAAGACGGATGAAGAACGACTGGATGAAAAAGCCAAAAGAGAAGCAAACAAGAAGATCGAGAAACAGCTGCAGAAAGAAAGACAAGCTTATAAAGCTACCCACCGACTGCTGCTGCTGGGTGAGACACCTGTCCACCTGTCCCTCTATCTGCTCACCTGTCCATCAGGGACTTCATTAATGATCTCATCAGTTCTCGATTTGACTCGACAGTCCAGACTTCATTTGTCCTCCCCATCTGCCCGTATACCTATCTTTCCTCCTGTTTGTCCCCCTGCCTGTCCCCCTATCTGTCCCCCTGTCTGTCCCCCTGTCCGCTGTCCTCTCTGTGGTTGTGCAGGTGCAGGAGAATCAGGTAAGAGCACCATCGTTAAGCAGATGAAGATTCTTCATGTTGACGGTTTCAACGCTGAGTGAGTCTCTTTCCTGTCCTTCAGAGAAGCTTCATGGGGCGGGGGGGTCCATCTACTCCATGTCCTAATCCGCTCTGCCTTTATTCCCAGAGAGAAGCAGCAGAAGATTCAGGACATCAGGAGGAACGTGAAGGATGCCATTGTGGTGAGTCACATGACCAGATCAGGTGCATGAAGGCGTCTCTGGATCCTTGGGGATCAGAGTAACAGTAGATGGACTTTATGGGTGTCCCAGCTGTCCCCTGATGGTCTCCTGAGGTACGGTCAGATCTGACCTCACCATCAGGGTGACCTTCAGGGCGTCTTTAGGGAAAGGTCAGGTGTAGTTTCGGTGATGTCAGGTGAGTCTACATTTCTAGAGATGTTTAGGAGGTCATCTCATGTCTTCAGGTAGAAAGGACCCTCTATGCCCCGCAGTCCATTTGGGGACGTTTACCTTTTTCTGTCCAGAACGCTTTAGTTTTAGCCAGACCGCCCTGATGTGCCATATCTACTCAGTGGAGGCATCGGTTCTGTCTCTGTCCTGCAGATGGCCGATGGCTCCATCAGCCAATCAGCTTCCGTCTCTGTGTTTCAGACCATTGTCTCAGCCATGGGGGCCCTGACTCCTCCCGTCTCTCTGGGTAACCCAAGCAACCAGTCCAGAGTGGACTACATCAAGAGCATCGCTCCGCTTTTGGACTTTGAATACACTGAGGTAAAGTTACACTTCTACACAGGTGGGTCATGTGAGCAGTGATGTCATAGTGGCGTTGGCAGCAGCAGCACAGGCGTAGCCCCTCTGCACCAGTTGGACGGTTCTAACCAGCAGGAACCCGGTTCTAACGGTTCTCCTGGCTGTTGCTTGACTTGGTTTATCTGCAGACGCTTCGGGTCTGAAGAGCTTCACTGTTTCCTGCTCCAATGAAAACGTTGAAAGTGTCAGTTAACATTTCCTGCGGCGCCGAAAGAGTCTCGGGAGTAAAAACGCGCAAACGCTCACACACCCATGCACACTTAACGCAAACACACACGTAGCAGTCGGTTCTGAACAGGTAGAAAAGGTTGAGGTGCTCTGAAGCTGCACCAGGAGACCCGCTTGTTTGTTTTAATGATGTTAATGACATGATGTAACGAGTTCACCTGAGACACTCTCACAGCGAGTCACCAGAGGCCTCATTATCTAAACAGCTCGTCTCCAAAGACCTCAGAGACACAAAACAAGTGTCTTCACCCTTCCTCTGCTGCCTCTGACGGAGCAGCTGATTGGTTAATGAGACAAGCATCCAATCAGGGGAGGTCACACAGACCCGGCCATCAGAGAGGAGAACGCTTACCTGCAGACCAATCATGACCTTTGACCCATGGGACTCTCAGGGCAGAGAGATACTTGTGCATTGGATGACCGCCTGTGTCTGCGTGATCTCATAGAAGTGCTGTACGCTTGGAGATGATGCAGATGGATCACAAAAACCGATGAGAGGAGGAGATGTTAACTGCGTCAGTATTTTTGATTCCTTAGATCCGCCATACTTTGTAACACATCCATGAAACGGACTCCTCCTGCGGAGCTACGTTCATGCCCCTGAACCCTGCTGCATTCTGGGTATTGGAGTTCTAGAGTTTCCATGGTAATAGCATCAAAGGGGGCAAAGTTCAACATAAGTTTAGATACAGAAAAAAGAGAAGAAACTGTTGAGGTCTTTCTTCCAAAATGGCCGAACGCAGTATTGTGTATTCGAGAATATATGATTGAAGAACAGCAGGTGTGTTTATTGCAGCTACAGTAGCCTGGAGAGGTCAAATGAGATGATTGGTTGACCTGCTGCAGCAGAAGTTCCTCCTTAAACTCTACTGGACTGTGTGTGCTACCCCTCCGCAGCCCACAGGGGGCGCTCACAGCTCTCTGTGTCTTTCAGGACTTCTTTGAGCATACTCAGAAGCTGTGGGAAGACGACGGCGTTAAGGCCTGCTTCGAACGCTCCAATGAGTACCAGCTGATCGACTGCGCTCAGTAGTAAGGACGGCTCGCGTTAAGCTCCTCCCACCAGGGGTGTGATGTCACAAATGTTTTCAGTTAAGCCTCGGCGGTTAAGTTTGATGGATCCGTTTGTTTTCTGTGTTCCAGCTTCCTGGACCGACTGGACTCTGTCAGGAGGACCGACTACACGCCCACTGACCAGGTAGGAGACCGGCCAATCAGGCTGCAGCATCTACTGACACTCCTCCTCATCCTCTTTCTTCTGCAGGATTTGCTGCGCTGCAGAGTGCTGACTTCAGGGATTTTTGAAACCAGGTTCCAGGTGGACAAAGTCAACTTCCAGTAAGTTTTCACCGTCTTGTGTTCTGACTTCGTTGCCATGGCGTCGTTGCCGTGGCGTCGTTGCCGTGGCGTCGTTGCCGTGGCGTTCCAATGAAGCGTGCGTGTCTGTCAGTATGTTTGATGTAGGGGGTCAGAGGGATGAGCGCAGGAAGTGGATCCAGTGCTTCAACGGTAAGAGCGGCACTATTTAACGATGCAATCCGGGTTCCAGCAGAACTCAGGTCCGTTTGCTTCCTTCAGATGTGACGGCCATCATCTTTGTCGCAGCCAGCAGCAGCTACAATATGGTCATCAGAGAGGACAACTCCACCAACCGCCTCAGAGAGTCCCTGGACCTGTTCAGATCCATCTGGACCAACAGGTGCAGTCTCACGTGCACCGGAGCGCAACACTGCTCAGGTGTGATCAGCCCGATGAACTATGTGCTCTCTGATTGGCTGCAGGTTCCTGAAGACCATCTCCGTCATTCTGTTCCTGAACAAACAAGACGTGCTGGCAGACAAGATTCTAGCAGGGAAATCCAAACTTGAAGATTATTTCCCAGAGTACACAAACTACCAAGTTCCTCCTGAATGTAAGAACATAGACGGAGAACCGACAGACAAGTGATGTCACAGACCACTGCCCAACATCGCTGTTTGTTTTCTAGCTGTTCCAGATGCAAATGAAGACCCCAAAGTGACCCGAGCAAAGTTCTTCATCAGAGATGAGTTCCTGGTGAGTAAGACAGGTGAAGGTTTCCTGATCCATGCAGTCAGATGGAACATTAGCTCCTCCCTCCTGCTAACTTATATTTTGTTGCTTCACAAGTGCAATAATTTCCCAGGTGGTTATGGGTTTCCATAAAATAATGTTGGTGCTGAGGATTTAAATCAGAACATAGTCTGAGAAAGTTACGCTTTTAATATGATAAAACTGCAGCGCTGCGTCATCTAACAGGTTAATCTGCAATGTTTCATCTTATGGACTTTAAACTGTCCTTTGAGTCGGACTTGTTAGGCCCTCCCAGCTCTGCCTGCCTCTGACGCATCCTTGCATGTTGAAACTGCGACCTGTTTATGCGACATGTTCCTCTAACCAGCGACTTGTCCTAATTTCAGAGGATCAGCACAGCCAGCGGCGACGGGAAGCATTACTGCTACCCTCACTTCACCTGCGCCATCGACACCGAGAACATCCGCCGCGTCTTCAACGATTGTCGTGACATCATCCAGCGCATGCACCTGCGGCAGTATGAGCTGCTCTGAATGGCTGTCGGGGCTCTCCATTGGCTCCGCCCCTTCCTGTTAGTAAATCAAAGCAGAGATGTGTTTATAGTAGAAAGCAGCAGTTTGTGTTTAGTAGTGATTAGGGTTTGAACAGAAGGTGGTTTAGTGTGCAGACGTGAAACTATTTATAGAAACAATTAAGCTTTCCGTAAAAGTAAAAAATAAATAAAATAAATAAACAATCCACTGGACCTGGTTTCCACAGTTTGAAGACGTTTTGCTTCCCCTTCCCTTTGTTTCATGCATATAAATAGCTTTATTATAATTATGCAGGGAGTTTTACCGTTTATATGGACACTGCAATGTAAATAGAGCAGAAAAACAGAAGAAGAAAAGGAAAAAAGATCATTAAATGTTTTACCAGAGCTGTGGTGTCTGCATCCATTAGAACCTGTTTCCAGTGACGAGGACGGACCTGCTGGTTCTGGTAAGACGTCAGGGAGACGTCGTGTCCAAAGGTTTCTTCTCCTCAGGCTGTTCAGAGGTGACGGTGGTTCTCCTTCCAGATTCTCCTCCTGTTTCTCTGCCTCCTTTACTGCAACATGTAATCAATGCAGGCAGGAGGCCGACGGGGGCCGGAGCCCCTGGAGATCATGTCCTGTTTTGGCCCCTGTACTAAAGAAAATAAAACTCAAATAAACTCTGATGATGATCTATTCTAGAACAGTTACTGATAACCACTTTGGATCTATTTCATGTTTTTCCTGAAAAAATCCGGTTTAACAAATAATTAAAAACTATAAGGTGACACCTTCAGTGGCACTGAGATAGGATCCTAGTTTTCTTCTACTAAAGGTTTTTTCCAAAGCAAATCAAAAAATAATTATTTACAGCTGAATTTATCAGTTTTATCAATTTTAATTCAGATTTTATAAAAAAAATGTCATTTTAACTTCAATTAAGTCAAAAATATGTGAAATTCCTAAATTATGAAAGCATTTTGACTTTAGACTTAGATTTATTTTGTCATTTTACAACCAAGTGTAAACAAAAATAAATTTCATTTAACAGCTCTATAGAAATTTTAATTTCTTAAAGTGCAGCATTGATCAGGTGAGTTGTTGCTGAGCTGCTGCTGCCTCCAGCTCCTGCAGCGCTCGCTTCTCCTGGCTCAGGGGAGGAAGAGGACGATGATGATGATGATGTTGTGAGGGGGGGGGCGGGAGGAGGCGGCTGGGGATGTTTCAGCATTTGGCAGGAAGCATCTAGAGTGCTGTCCTCATTTTCACCTGCAGAGGGCAGCGCTTCCCCTCTAGATGCCTGGGAACAGCCTCCATTCACGTTGAGCTCCAGTACAGATTCTCCATTTTGTTTTCCAACTAGCGGACGTTGGAGAGCAGGATTGATGGAGGCGGAGCTCTGTGAGGATTTCTATTTAGCTTCTCAGTTAGCCCCGCCCTCTGCAGCCTCACTTCCTCAGTCCGTTATTTCCCGCTGTTGTCTTGTTGACATCTCTCTCCGCAGCTTTTTAAACCGTCTAAAATGTCGGCATTTAAATCATTTTGCAGGCGCTGGAGATCATAGATGCAGGTTTGATCTCTAGTTTGAATCGTTTTAAGCAGAATGTTTTGTGAAATAGTCGAGAGGAGCTGCTGCTGGCCGCTGCCTTGGAGCGTCGCCATGGTAACAACAACTGACCTAATTAGACATAGAATTCTAATTAAATGTAATTAAAACTACACTTCATGCAGCTCTTATTTGAATCTCTTGCCTTGTTTTTTATTTCCTGCTTTTCTGGGCCCCCATGAAAACACGCTGGCCCCCTCCTGGCCCCCCGGTACATTTGGTCTAGATCCGCCCCTGGTTCTGCCACAGTGTGACTAACAGGGATTCCTCCTGCTGAGGCTAAACAGCTAAGACCTTAAACCAGGGGTCAGCAATGAAAAACCAGAATAAAGAAAATCATCAACCAGAAAAGATCCAGAGACAGTTTTAATTATAATCTGTTACTTTAAACAGAGTTTAACACTGAAATAAAATGAGGTTTTTATGCATATGTTATATATTAAAATAAATTTGTTTTAAGTAGAAAACAAAAAATGTTCAAATCAAACCCCTGAACT